CTACGCTGAACATTTTCAAGTAGGATTTTATCGCGACTGAGATCTGATCTAACGTATATGTTAACTAACTTTTCTGATCAGCCGCCTTAAAAGTCCGAATAGCTATGATGATTGCCGACCTCCGCCACGGAGATGGCACGTGAAGTAGAAAAAGATATTGAGTAAAGTTTACTAACAGGTTAGAGATATACCTACGTGTAAAACATATACGGATCAAAAACAGTTTTGAGTTTGCACGTTTACACATCAACACTATGTGATCAGAAAAATTTAAGTCACTATTAATTATCACTCCGAGATCGTTGTGGGAGGTTAGCGAGTTTAAGGGATGTCCATTAATAAAGTACGGCAGTGATGGGTTATTTTTGCCGATATATAAAACAACGCATTTTTCAATGTTAAGCGGAAGTAACCATTCTGAGGACCATTTAAATATTGCATCAAGATCGTATTGAAGAACATGTTGGTTAATAGTTGAATTCACATATAAATTTCATGTCATCAGCGTAAATGAAAACCTTACTGGATACAATGAGCGGAAGATCACTAGTGTAGACACAAAAAAGTAGCGGTTCAAGTACTGATCCTTGTGGGACTCCACTCTTGAATGGCTTATTTAGTGAGTGGTCTTCCTCAACACGAACCCTGAAGTATCTGTCGGATAAAAATCTTGAATCCAAATGTTTAACCTTCCGCGGACACCATAATGATCCTATTTTGCTAGTAATCGATGTTTTGGAACACAGTCGAAAGCTTTGGAGAAATCTAAGTAGGATACATCGACAGGATTCCGATTGTTTAAAGATAATGACCAATCATTTACACAATGAAGTAAGATTGTGATCATTGAACGACCTTTGATAAAGCCATGTGTTGGTGAGGAATGACATTTTCTTGGACGGTGGGGAGAGAACCTTCATTAAAAGAAGCATTCATTATGAGAGATATAGGAGGGCTACAGATTCTGCAGATTGTTTGAGGAAAAAGCAGGTGAGTCCGTCTAATCCAGGTGATGAATTATTGCGTAGTTTTCATAAATGATGTTTAATTGCATCAGGATTGAAAGATATATTGTCAAGAGTTTTAGAAAAACGTGGTCACATTATTTGAGGAATGGTATCGTTAGGTTTATCTGTAAAAACCTGAGAAAAGAATAACGATAAACATTCGAAGATTCGTTATTCGAAGAACATAAAGACCCGTCAGCCTTTTGAAGTAATGGTATGGAGACTTTAGAAGATAAAGATGTGCGAATGTACCAATAACCTTTTTTACTATTACCACTTGCAATGATAGATTCTTGAGATTCTGTTCTTAACCTTAGCAAATATTGTTTGGACTCGGTTGGAAAAATTACGGTGGGCGAGAAAATCATCAATGAAGACAGTAAGTTTATATCTTCGCCAAACCTTTCGCTAATGTCGAATTAAATGAGTAGCTGAGAGGTTAATCCAAGGTTTTAGTCGATTTCTGTATAGCTGTCGTTCGGTTGCATGACCAGAAGTTGTTATAATAGCAGTATGAAGAAAAAAATCACACATTGACGATGCATCAGAGTGATTAAGAAAAATAGATTGTGAGTTAATGGATAAAACTAAATTTACATTAAGATATCAGTAGTGGCCATACGTTACTAAATTATTTTTGCAAGTCGATGTTAAACTAAATTGAATATGAGCAGTAATAATACAGGAGAGGACACTTCAAGTGTAGAAATCAATTGATCGTCATTTGTGAAAAATAAGTCTAAAATTGAAGGATTATTATTGGCTTTAAACCTTGTAGGTTTAGTTATAATAAATATAAAACCACTTGATTTCTCCTATCAACATCACCCATATATTTATTATACAGGGTATGCCAAAAGAAGCGTGATGGTCGAATATTTCATGAAATTTAGATCGAATCTTAAAACATAAAATAATATTGTATTTAATATATTTTAAAAATCTATCGTTTGACGCCAAACATGACCCCCCAGCCCCACTACCTGTGTGTGGTCGGAATGCAAAAAACATCTCAAGTAGAAACCCCCATTTTTTATTGCAGATTCGGATTCTACGTGAAAAAGTAAACAAGTATTATCTAAAAATTTTCCCGTTCGTGATAGATGGCGCTGTATACACAGAAAAACAAATACAGTAAACTAATTTTTATGGTAATGTATACAGTTTTTGACGTAGAACCTGAATTTGCAATAAAAAATAGGAGGGTTTCTCTTTAAGATTTCAAAGTTGCTCCACGCCCACTTTTAAGGGGTGGAAGTATAGAGCCGTGTTGGGTTTCATTCGATAGATTTTTGAAAAATATTGAACCCATAGACGTATATATTAACATGGAACAGTCTTTTTTTTCGTTGTGTCTCTGTGTTACGTCAACTAAGTATGGCAGCGTCTCATTTGGCGAGGGAGAGTGAGGAGTTCCAATGCGCTAGTGAGGAACAGATCTTGTAGTTAGTACGCGCGACCGGTATGCTCGGTCTATGTGAATATATACGTCCATAGTTGAACTCCTGTCTTTTGGTTTTTACTACTTATAAGTAGTAAAAAGAAATAATTATTTATTTTTAAGCATACCATGAGTGGTATCATTCGATAGATTTTCGCGATATATTCAATCGATCCCGGTTTTTGCACAGCTCTTATTCGCTTGATTTCTTACACTTTCTTTAAGATATTCTGCTACGCAAGATTTTAAAAATTGTTGTTTATGTCTACTTTAACAATATCTCAGTTCCGCTTTATGCTCATCCTACCATTTCAGTATGTTGACTTGATTTGCAAATATTGAAATTATTTCTCCTTTTATCAAACTTTATCAATCAGAGTCTCAAAGCACACCCTACAGCAGAACTACGATTGCCACATACAATTAAAGAACAGGGCAAGAGATGAAAAAATTCTGATTAAATTGTTGATGCGTTAAATGACTCAACCATACACGCCTGTAATTTTGACCTGCAACAGGTCCTGTACGTTCCAACAGATCCGACAAATCCGGTTCTATTTTATAAAACGAAACTTGCTACTTATAATTTTACGATTTTCAATACTACTGGTAAATGTTTCATGTGGACTGAGATTGAGGTTGCTTTTTTCACCATCATTGGAGCCTCCCCCAAACATTTAAAAGTCTTCAAGACTATTCAGGGACACTTGCGGTGGTCAAAACAAAAATCAATTTGTTGCTTGCCATGTTTCTGTATGCTGATCAGACTTTACCTATTGAAGCAATCGATCAAAAATTTCTTATCTCTGGTCAAAGTCAAATGAAATGTGACTCAATGCATGACACAAACGCTTCATGTGTGTGTTCCTGTTCAATCCTTTTTGTATAGTCACCCAATAGTGTTTGCGAACAGTTAGGAAATTGTCATGAATTTAACAGAAGTGTAGGAGTTAATTGTTTTTACGATATTTGACCAATTGTCTGGCTAAATAGGTTTTGAACCTAAGGGCAAAAAAAGTCGGCTTGTTTTCTTATAATAGCTCATGTTCATTTACTATTAATCAAATGAATGTAATTTTACATGCTCCTAGTACATCTTTGTACTTAAATAGCTATTTGAAAATTAAAATATATCAAACATATTGCAATGGGCTGAAGAAGGTTTTTGTTTCATAAGAAAAAGTTTCATACACGAGAAAGGAAAAGAAGGGCATGCGTTGTTTTTAATTTTTGGCACGGGTTATCAATGGGGATTTACCCCGATCTGTAGCGTAGTCCTTTTGTAATTATTTTGCCGGCCAATAAATTATTTTTTCTACTCAGTTTCATTATTATTTCTGTATGTTAGGATAAAATCAAGAGTTGTTTTTTTTTAACAGAAGCTGTGCAAACGGTCTGGATACAACCAGCAATTAAATCTAATATTTAATTATTCTTCTTCTTCTTCTCGTGCCAGTCCTAGCGGAGATTGGAAATCATCATGGCCACTGCGACTTTGTTAGTAGCGCGCCTGAAAAGTTCAATCGAACTACACCCGAACCATTCACGTAGATTACGAAGCCACGATATTTTTCTTCTTCCCACACTTCTTTTGCCCTGCATGATGTTTCTTAAAAGTTCGTACTTTCCACCTCTCACAATGTGCCCAAAGTATTCCATCTTTCTAGTTTTTACCTCATTTAGAATTTCGCATCTTTTGTCTAAAGTTTGGAGTACTTGCATGTTAGGGACGCGGTCCATCCATGATATTCTGAGAATGCGCCTATAGCACCACATCTCGAAAGCTTCGATGTTTTTTATGGTCAACTGTTTTAGTGTCCAAGCCTCAACTCCATATAACAGGGTAGAAAAGACATAACACCGCAGCATTCGTATCCGTAACTTTATATTGATATCACGATTGCAAAAGAGTTTGCGCATTCTATTAAAGACTGATCTAGCGATTTCTATTCTACATCTAATCTCTTTTGTTTGATCGATATCGTCTGTGATCCAAGCACCTAGATATTTATAACAGGGCACACGCTCAATCGTTGTATTGTCTATTAGCTCTGATGTTCTTTGATTTCGTGATTACCATAAATTTAGTTTTTTTCAAATTAATTTTCAAGCCGTAACTGTTACAGTATATATTGAGACTTTGAACGAGATGTTGTAGTTCTACTAGCGTTCCCGTTAGGAGAACTGTATCGTCAGCATACCTTATATTGTTGATCGTCTCACCATTTATTATCAGACCAAGATCTTCTTCCTCAAGTGCTTGTTCACAGATAGCTTCACTATACAGATTAAATAAAAGTGGCGATAAGATACATCCCTGCCGGACTCCTCGACGGATTTGAATTTCTTCTGTTAGTCTGCCCTCAACCTTGACATTTGCTGTTTGATTCCAATATAGATTGCATATAATTCGAATATCTCGGCTGTCTATATTTTTCTTTATTAGAACTTGTCTTAGTGGTTCATGTTGTACTTTGTCAAAGGCCTTTTCGAAATCAATAAATAATTAATCAATATTTAATTATACAATTTTTCAAATGAAACAACAGTTTGTACTTGACCAAAATCACTTTATTATTCTAGAAACAACTACTTATAGAAATAGAGATCAAAATTCGATCCTTACAAAGCTTTCACTTTGAGTTGCTTCATCTTTGGCCCCCTCTTTTTAGCTTGTCTCTTTTCTTCTTTAAGTTCCCAACGTCTCTGTCGTTCTGGATCCTCCTCAGCCATGATCTTTTCCTTTTCTAAACGCCTTTTTTCTTCTTTTCTCGCTGCAGCCGCCTCAGCTCTAGCTTGGTGGGTGGATTTCAGGAAGGCTTCTTCCACTTTTTGACGGTTCTTGTCAGCTTTGGATTTGGCTGAAATTAATTTGATTGATTAATATGACGTTTGTTAATTTGAAGTAACTGTGTTTTAAAATGAAGCTCCTCCTAGTAATAAGATGATAACTTTGAATAGTGAAATGATTGTGAATGGTAATAATTTTGATTATGTAGATCGGTATTGAACGAATGATTGATGAAGGCAATGAAAGGAAGCGAGTGTTGTGTTGAATGATGAAAATGTTAGCAAAAATACAGCAAGATTATATATAATACCCTGTCATTAAATAACCGTCAACTCACCTTCTTTAGACAGTCTAATTCGTTTAACCTTATCTATGGTGTAGAAAACCATGTTCATCAATGGAGTTAATTTTGCACACGCCTCTTCAAGAGGCATCCCTTTCACGGGTATATTAAAACCGAACATAATTGCCTAAAAAATATACAATCCATGTAACCAAATACGATATAAAACTTTTCGAAAATTAATCGGTTGATCATACTGTAATATCATTATGACTATGTGATCCTTATCACTACTAGCTGATAATTACAACTTAACAAGCCTCAACAACAGGATTATGACAAGCTAAGCTATCACAAACAACGAAATATTACACACAAACGTGATGTTAGACACGGATGTCATAAAATATGATATAATAAATAGGAAGAAGCGAATTGAAAAGAAAAGAAGCTATGAGTATTCCATTTTTTAGTATTTTTTACACATTCCTTTGAAAATAATTTTATTATGTGCCAAAAAAAACTCTTTTACACTCTCTTAACAATAAAATGAGTTATAAGAATAGGAATATGAAATGAATAAAGTCTATACGAGCCCAGTAAAACACAGAAAGACCACAGATATGAAAAAGCTAAGTATACCAGTTCCTGTGAGGTGTATCATGATCACGCAGAAGGCTGGTAAATGTAGCTTAGGCATCCATAAGATATTTTATTCTGAAGACGAAGGCAAGCACCAGTGAAACGGCGTGGTATTCATGGCACATAAAGAATTCTCTAATTTATTAAATCCGTGGCCGGTCTCAACTTTTGTGGAGGATAGTTCTGAACTAAGTAGAGATTCTTCTTCAACCCGACACGGCGCGTTCCCAAAAGACAGATAGATGGCATCCTGTAAATATACAGGATAGGTGCGAATTATATGATTCTGCCCAAATAAGCACCGCGCGGATCAACTGAGGGACACGGTATAAGGGCAGCAGCTATGCCATTTACTAAACTCCAAGGGCTAGAGAAGAAATGACCTCTTAATAGGCATGGAATTCAGATCCGTATAGGCGACAAATCAGATATTAGTTTAATCGGTTGCAAATACTGCTGTGTATAAGGCAAGGAGAAAACCAATACCCTAAACATTCTCAGATATTATGACTATAGGCCAAGTTATGGAAAACAAAAGTCCCCTTAAATGGTCAAGGTGTTCATGGTTAGAATAAATACACGATCTCCAGAAAGTTAATTATGAATATACAAGAAGAGAACTTGAATACTTAGGCCCACCTGGATGAAAGGACAAAAAGGTAGCACCATTCCTATCAAAAATATAAAGCAAAGCAAAAAATCCAAGGACACAGAAAAATCCAGGTCGTAGAAAGAATGTTCCTGGATGAGAATTTTAAGAGAGTGGTTTGGCTGTACCACTATCGAATTAATCAAAACAACAGTAAACAAAATTAGAATCGCCATAATGATATCCAATTTCCGATAGGAGAGGCACTCAAAGAAGAAGAAAATCAAGATGAAGCAATCTTCAAAAAATTGTTGGGATAGTGATATATTCTCAAGAAAAAACAAGCATATTACATATGGCTTCAATCCAAAGATCCTAAAGACAGAGAAATATACACCAAATGGAATAGAGAAGTTAAAAAAGAAGTGGATAAGGCGAAAAATGTAAACTGGGAGGCTAAGTGTGATGAACTGGACAGATTTATGGGTGGAACAAAAGTGGCACAAGCTTGGAAAACATTAAAGCAGTTTAGAAAAAATGAGAAAAATGAAGACAACATTCCTCTCATAAAGTTAAATGAATGGGAAGAATATTATACAAAACTGCTGAAATAGGATAGAGTAGAGTACAGATGGGACAAGATAAGAGAATTAATAGATAACAGAGACGAAAGACAGGAAATCCCTATAATAACATTATCTGAATTGACGGAAACCTTAAAAGAGGTTAATAACGGAAAAGCCGCAGGGCCTGGAGACATTCCCATAGAGCTGGTTAAATATGGGCCGACTGCACTTTTAGAATTAATAGTAGACCTTTTTAATAAATGTATGTTTGGAGACCAGGAAATTCCTAAAGATTGGAATAAATCTTATATAAGCTCCATATACAAGAGAGGGAATAAAAGAGACTGTTCCAATTATAGAGGTATTAGTGTGACCAGCTCTGTGCCGGTTGTACGGCAGAATATTAAAGAAGAAGGTTGAAAGACAGATACAAGATATTAAAGAACAAAGCAGCTTTCGTACCGGGAGATCCTGCCTTGATAATATATTTATCCTACGACAAATAATTGAAAAACGTGTCGAAAGAAGTAGAGAAACCCATTTGGTATTTATAGACCTTGAGAAAGCATATGATAGTTTCCCGTTAAAGAAAATGTTTGAGGTCCAAGAAAGATCCGGATTGGATTTGACGTATATCCGAGCGATATATAAATTGTACGAAAATGCAGTTAGTTGTGTAAAAATTGGAACCAGAACTTCAAATGAATTTAAAGTCACTAAAGGCCTAAAGCAAGGATGCTGTTTATCACCAACACTCTTTTAAATATACGTCCAAGAAGCATTGAGGAATTGCAGAAATAAATGTAGATTTATGGGCATCGAAGTGGAACAAGAAACTCTGTATACATTGTTGTTTGCAGATGATCAGGTGGTGGTTGCAACCGATGAGGAAGATATAAATTATATGAATCGAAAATTATTTGAGGAATATGCCAAATGGGGGCTTACTGTAAACATGAGCAAAACAGAATATTTAAAAATTGGAGGAAATACCACAGATCTGAGGCTTGAAAACGCAGTCATAAAAGGTTGCAACCAGTATAAATATCTAGGAAGCATCATATCAGCAGATGGCAGAGTTAAGATAGATGTACAAAACCGAATAATCCAAAATGCATCCGAATACTGAATTCATTACTGTGGTCTAATAAAATAAAGATGCATACCAAACTTTGTGTATACAGAGCAATTGTAGGACCGATTACCACATATGGTGCCGAATGTTGGACGATGACAAAGAATGAACGAGATAAAGTAGACGTTGTGGAAAAGGATTATTTTAGAAGGTCATGTCGAGTATCGATAATGGAAAGAATCAGGAATGAGGAAATACGAAACCGTACAGGAATTAGAGATACTCTTTGAGATAGAATACAAGGAAGGCAGTTACAATGGTCACGTGATGAGAATGGAGGAGGAGCGGTGGCCAAAGAAAGCCTTAATGTATGTTCCGCCAGAAAGAAGGAAAAGGGAAAGACCACCAAATTCCTGGAGAAGAGAAATAACAAAAACAATGCAATCTAGAGGCTTAGAAGAGGAAGATTGGAGAGATAGGAAAAGATGGAGGCTGAAATGCGGGAAGCGGCAATCGCCGTTATATGATGATGATAGTGATATATTCGATTTGATTCAAAAAAGTGTGACAACAAGAAAATAATTAACAAAAGCTATAGTATGTTTCTGTTGAATAGGCAAAATATGTGTTAAATCCTAATTAGGATCTAGAGAAGGAAACTCGGCCTCCACGTTAATGAAAGAAATTAAGACAAACCTGGTTTATTTTAAATTATTGAACATTTCAAATTATTTGAACTAAAATTAACTATCATCAAAACATTTTATGACAATCATCTGACACATGTCATTGTGTTATATTGGAATCACAATTGTCATCAATTTCTGGTTTGGAAACTATACAAAACAAAAAAGATAATTTAGATCATGTTGATAATAGTTCCCAAAATTTTGAAGTAGAATTGCCTGAGATCAAGCAGCAGGATGAAAAGGAGGCAACTAATGTAGTGAAGGAAGATCCTCCTCCGAAAACTCAAGGAATTGCAGCTAAAGATAACCCTGGATTTAAGAAATTTTTTAAAATGGTACAATTTGGAGTGCCTGAGCCGGCTGTCAAATTAAAAATGCAGAATGAAGGCATAGATCCTTCTATATTAGACAAACCTCACGATGTTGTGCCAGGATTAACAGAAGATCTTATACAAAATGAATCTGAAGAAAAATCAGATTGATTCTAAACAAACAAGAAAATAGGTAAAGAAATAATAAATAAGACTTACTCACAATCAATTTAATTTAACTATCAGACGACCGGTTTCGCTTTCTACAATATGCAAAGCATCCTCAGGTCTCGATACAAAGTTAAACAAATGCTGAAATAATAAAAACCCATATTAGGGTGTTGTCTAATAACGATAAACAAAGTAGGTGTTGTAAATTACAATAATTATGCCAATATTACATGTCTGTGGTTTTATTTAAATGAGTAAGTTGAATAAAAGGTATAAAATTTTTTTTAAAAATTTTTTAAAAAGTTTAAACAGACAAGGTAAGGCTCACAAATTGTTATAAAATAGTCTCTTCGATTGTAATAAATTAATAAATGAGCAAATAAATAAATAAAATAAACATTACTTACATGCCGGTACTCTATTAATAGATGGATGGTAGAACATGGTTGAAACTACTTTATATTGTTGAATGGAGAACTCAATTCTATTATTGCAGTTGTTTGACAGTAAACGGGAAGTTCTTGAGGAGATAGATTTGATCCAATGAAGAAGAGATATGTGTGAGATTGTTTGTTAAATGTAAGTGATGTAATATACCATTGTGTTATTAATCACTTACATTTAACAAACAATCTCACATCATTACATCACTTACATTTATATGTAAGTGATGTATAAGTGTTAATTGATTTTAAATCATATGTATTTTAATTTTACTTCCCGGTCGTAAAACATAATTATCTATCGGTAAAATTGCTATTGAGAGTATCGTTAAAATATTCTGTCTTATATCGCTCTTTATATTATAAAATATATTCGTAACATATGCTTTTCATTAAAATTGTCGATATAATTAATCCATTTAAATTGTCAAACCATACGACGGTCAAATTATCTATAAATCCATTAAGTTTTTTGCTCCCACAATTCATAAGTAACATTTATAAAACCTTTCAAGGTTCATAAACCTTGTTTTTTTCCTACTCTGTAAAGTATAAGAAAGAACTCAAAAAGAAATGTTTTTTTAGCCTACCTTTGGGATTCAAACAGAAGTCGGGGGAAGAATTTGCTTTTGGTTTTTTTGAATAATTTTGGAATAAGCAGTACCTATTAAGTTGAAACCTAGTCCGGTTATACCTGGTTACAGGCCTGTTTTTTTTCCTTGCCGTAGCTGCTCCCCAGAGGTCCAGATCTGACCTTCTGATTACGAAACAAATTTTAGGAAACCAGCGGGAATTATCTCCTTAAAATATAGTAAATCTGGATTAAGTTTATTTCTTAGATTTATTTTTTTTTACCTATAATATTTTTTGTATAATTTTTTTTGTATATTTAACTTCTAGTATTTCATCTAATAATAAGAGTCGTCATTTTTTTAATAATTTACTGAATAATATTTAAATACAAATTGTCAACTACAGGTAGAGGTTTTTAAGTCCTCCCTTCTAACTCACTTGTATGGTTTCTTGTGTACACATTTAATCAGAGAGTTATTTTTTTTTAGATTTTATTATCAATATATATTTAAACGTTTGGACACTTATCTCGTCAAGATAGTGTCCTTATTACTTGTTACTGTTATATTCAATAAAGCCAGAATACAGAGTTGCATCTCTGAGGCAAATAAATTACCTTTTTAGGTCAATTAGTACCATTTTTTTTCCATATTTTATTATTTGTAAATTTAGATCATCCAGGATCAGTTGTATAACCAGGGCATTTATTTTTCTTGTATATAACTAGATTAGCTGTACATAATTGGTGGTGGGTATATTAAATTTAGATTGTATATATTTGGCTAGGGATTAAAGTTTTGGTGAAAACTAAATATTTCAATTCATACCTATATCCTTTCTTTATTTCAGCAAACAGCTTTACAAGATACCTTGGAAAGTTTATGTAAATACTTTCCTGGCGCCCACTCACATTTTTGGAGCAACTTCTACAATCACTTTTATTTATCTTAGTTATATACCTATAGATTTTTTATTACCTTGTCATTCATTTTCTAATTCTACGGTCTCTGTAGGGCATGCAAATTGGCCGAATTCTCCTTTGAGTGTCAAGTAGTCACTCTCCGGCACCTTCTGCTAGCCAGCTTACATTATATGTTATCCTTTCCATTATCCTACACGTTTTGTTACATTGGCGTGCCACAGCCCAAAGCATTTTTGTTACATTGGTATATTAGATCACTTACATTTAACAAACAATCTCACACATATCTCTTCTTCATTGGATCAAATCTATCTCCTCAAGAACTTCCCGTTTACTGTCAAACAACTGCAATAATAGAATTGAGTTCTCCATTCAACAATATAAAGTAGTTTCAACCATGTTCTACCATCCATCTATTAATAGAGTACCGGCATGTAAGTAATGTTTATTTTATTTATTTATTTGCTCATTTATTAATTTATTACAATCGAAGAGACTATTTTATAACAATTTGTGGGCCTTACCTTGTCTGTTAAAACCTTTTAAAAAAATTTTTTTAAAAATTTTATACCTTTTATTCAACTTACTCATTTAAATAAAACCACAGACATGTAATATTTGCATAATTATTGTAATTTACAACACCTACTTTGTTTATCGTTATTAGACAACACCCTAATATGGGTTTTTATTATTTCAGCATTTGTTTAACTTTGTATCGAGACCTGAGGATGCTTTGCATATTGTAGAAAGCGAAACCGGTCGTCTGATAGTTAAACTAAATTGATTGTGAGTAAGTCTTATTTATTATTTCTTTACCTATTTGAAATGGACTCACACAAGCAACACATTCATGATTTAAACAAGAAAATACTTACTTTTTCAGTATCAGGCAATTTCAAAAGTCCGGTCTCTTCAGTCTGTTTCAGTCCAGAATATTGATCGGAAATGTGGATATAATCTATGTACTCGGGATACTTATTAATTACAGTGGACACCTTATGATCCAATATGGCAGAAGCGGCTTCCCCGATTTCGCTCATCACGTTAAAACTGGATGGCAAATTGAATTTGTCGCCCGATTTACGCTCGGGACAATATACGCTCAAATCGGCCATGTCTTTGACTAGACTCGTTGCTGTTTTTTTGGTAGCCAGGCAGAACACAAAGCTATCCATGTCTTCTTTGTTCATACGTATGGTGAAGTGGATTTGGTCCATGGTAGGCCGCATCATTCCGGATAACGTGGCTAGCAAATCCTGTCTCTAAAAAACATGAATAAGAAACATCTTTGAGAACTAATCAAAAGAGTTCAATAACTTACTTTAATAAGTTTTAATTCCACTAACATTCCTTCGCAGCAGGTTCTTCCACTGCACCACAAAGTAAAGATATTCTCACTCTCCTTGGTTAAACTGGTATTTTCATTCCTATCTAAAGTCCCATCGTCCCCCACCAACGAAAAGTTATCTTCGAACAATTGCCTATGAGTATTGAACCAGGTGTTCGCTATCTTACTGTTTTTGCTTTTTCCTGTGGCAAAGTTGATGAAATATACAACCAATCCGGCCATCATGAGTATTTCTAGATAGTAGCTGTCCCAGTTTTGGCGGAAGTTAAGGGGTACTTTGGCAATTGTTATTTTTGGTTCTGATTCGACATTTTCTTCTTTCAATTCGTAGCCTTCGAATTCTTCACCGTCTTGGAAATGTTCGAATTCCGAATCGTCATCATCGACTACCATATCCGGATCGTCTTCATTCTCCGGCACTTGCTCTACAAGTAAACTGAGTATATTATACATTATTTACGAAATAATTTAACATATATAGACTTTCTTAATTAGTAATGGAATTAAATTATTCACAATGTAAAACAAGAAATGTGCAATCTGTAAATCAAAAGGGGGGCTATGTTCGGATTTTTGTTAATATTTGTTAAATGGCAACCATGTCAACACTGCGCTTGGTTATGCGCATTCATTCCATTTGTAGTATTAAGTAAGAAGTAAGAGTGTGCAGATACCTAGACGTGTAACATCTCTATTCTAGTACAATTAAACAAAATTACAGTCCACAGCGTTTCAATTAAAATCTATTTACCAGTGAACCAGCGGAGATGTGAAGACAAACCAGTGTTTTCACATTCTATTAAACATTTTGGTCTAGGCAAGAAATAAATATCTTGGATATCTTGGCTATAAGCGAATTCAGTACTCCTTGGAAAACACAATCGGAGAGGGTAGTTCTCAACCTTAACACGGCACGACCCAATGACTGATCAGGAACGCCCTACAGATATGTGGAACAGGTGTGAATAAGGCTTTGCCAAATAAACAGCCGCGGATCAACTGAGAGCATGGCATAGGGGAGCAGCTATGTCATTACAGGATCGGAGCGATAGAGGAAAATCTCTTTACCAGTCTGATACTGAATAATCACAGGCGGTAATTATGATTTAACTGGTTGTGATACTGCAAAGTAACCGAACGATTACCGGTAAAAGTAATCCTTCATTTGTTGGTCAACAGCTACGGGTGGAAAAACTGACATGGTATGGCACTTCATTGCCATACCATGTCAGTTTCAAACTCAATGAACAAATGAGTATAGCCAACACACTACAAAGACTGAACCTACAATAATTGAAGAAAGCATGGAGCATATTTAGAGTTTGTTTAAAAGTGCAGTATGAATGATGGAGAGAAGGAAATAGAGAAAATAAACCTATACTTCTGATCTTTTTGAATTCAATGATACCTTATTTCCTAGCCAATGTTATACAGGGGCCAAGTATAATGAGTTCATACATAGAAAAGACTGAAGAGTTCTTGAAACTTATAGTGAAAGAAAACTACGATACTCTAAAATGCTTAAAAAATTATAATATTAACTATGAGTAAGAGAATTACTTTGAGAATAAAAAAATGGTACAATTCGTAACTAATATACTTAATTTCAATTTTCATACTTAAATCTTGTTTGTACATTTTATATATAACCTTATCTCTTGGTTTATTCTAAATAAAATATAAATATAAATAAAGTTCAAAAATAAACCAATAAAAAATTACAACTGCTCATCTACTACATCTAATAAAAATTCTAAATTCAATGTTATCAATATTTCCCAAATTTTAAAAATTGTAGCAGATGTTCAGTTTGAAATCTATATTTAGATATGAGGTTATTTTATCAAGTTCTGCATTTATTATATTTAAATGACTTTATTATTTTTTGTCTTACTATTTTAAAAATCCTATCTCCTGCTAAAACTAAAAAAAAATATCTCAAAGAAAGTAACTGCTTTCGAATACCAAGGTATAAACGCGGCAAGGAATATAGTAGAACATTCATATTTGTAGGTTTTGATAGTTCTGCTTTAAGATATAGTCCGGCAGCTCTGATAATTCTATATGAAATTGAAAAAATTTATTTTTTACTTAGGTATATAAAAGCAGACCATATCATATACGGTAAAATTATTTTTAAGCATTTTTATTTACATTTCACTGACAATCTCTCTTACTGCATACTTGCATTGATAACTGACATACAATAGCTTTTATAATTACTCTTTTTATTGTTAGAATTATTGATACTAATACAGCTTAGATAGATATAGTTCTTTTGTTGAGAAGAGTCTTGGTAATCTAAAGATTTTTTATAGCTGTATTTTGACGAACACAAACAGCCTGAAGATGCTTTTGTGTGGCTTTTCCCCAAATTAGAGTTAAATAGGTGACATGGCTATGTATTAAACTGTAATATATATTTTTCCTATATTTAATTTCTGCATAATTTGCTGCTCTTCCTAGAACCTCTATTTCAGGTGAGATATTTTGCATAAATTTTGTATGTGATACAACCAAGTAAGTCTATAGTCAATGTACAGTCTTAGCTATTTTTAATACATTCCACTTTTTTGTTGTTGCCACTTTTCTCTTTTTTGTTATCACCATATAACTTGATTTATCTGCATTAAGGGTAAATTTATAATGATCTAACCATCCCTTCACCATCTGTAAGTCAAATTCAACATTATTGGCAACACAATGGCAATGTTAAAATTGATTTAGCATAAATAAGGAACAGAGTTGGACCAAGTATCAACTCTAGAGGAACGCCACACTCAATATTGTACAATTGACAACTTACCCTGTTAACAAAGGTAAGTTGTGTTCTTCCTGATAGGTAAACCACTTGAACACTCTACCTCTTGTACCTAAAGTTTCCAATACAAATAATATCAACATGTGAAGGACTAAAGGCTTTCTTCAAGCGATACAAATATACAAGATTGGCTTTTATCCACTTCAAATATATCAATATTTGCTATAAGATCAGCTGTCACTGTTGTTGCGGTGCTACCTGTCTAAGTCCTTATTGGCCTTTATATGAGAAATTTCCATTGTCTAGATAGTGAATGATTCTATTATTAAACTTTGATCAAATGAAAGGCAGATATCAAGCACAGTTTATTAATTAAATCCTGCTCAAATACCTTCGCTTCCTAGAGCATCTTCAGGAGCATTTCATCAATTTTTGCCTATCCAACAATTATAGAATGTCATAAACATAAAATTGTACATTCCACTACACTACACAAGGACAAACACTTTAAAATTTTTAAAATAGGTGAAGCTACATTATGGTCGGCATCAGGAGAGAGAATAGCTTCTCTCTCTATTAGTAATTATAATATTTCTATTATTTACACATGTTTCTAGAATCTTGAATAAAGCCCGTAAAAGTAAAATGACAACAGGAAACCTAGTTAAAGCTTTTAGTAGTATGATATTTTATTAGATACTTGAAATACAAAATAAATATTGTTTTTCCCACAAGTTATTATTTCATAGGCAATTAAAGCCAAGGTTTTAAGAAGATATAAAAAACATTTTGCAGGGTTGTGGAAATTGGATATACCAATAAATTATTCATAAATTTATTTAACATCAGTTTCTATAAGGATCTTGTTAGGTAAAAATATTATACAAATCAGCTACATTCCACCATAAGATGCAAAAAGGGCTGCATTTATTAGTTTTTCGTAATTTAATGAAATTATTCACCTTATTAGAGTCTTCTTTAGAGATATACTATTATAAATTTTTTTTTATATACTCCATTTGCTTAGCTCGAGCATATTTTGACAGATTCATTGTTGGAAACCTACAACACAACAATTCCTACTTCTCAGTATTAATAGCTCAAGTATACTACTATTGCAGACTTCTTTCTTTGAAAAAAGAAGAATTATTCTAAATAAAAGAAGTAGGTACATACTAAACCCATTAAATTTAGGGTAGTATATATTTAAAAAATATATTTTAGTTGTTTTAATTTAACATAACTATTTATTATATGGTGCAGATAAATAAATATTGATTGTCAGTAATTCGCAAATATCTATTTGATTTACTATTTAGTTTGTTTACTATTACTATTTACTATGAGTATGTGTGTTTGGTTGTATAGTAATTTCCAGCCACTTTTAGTCTGTCAAAAAGTAACTAACTTCGCAAAAAAATAATTACTAAATTCACTAGACAGTTCGGACTGGGAATAGTGAACCGAGTATACCATCTGAGTTGTGTAAATATATTTGGGATATGGACCAGAAATTTTAAATGCAAAAACTACCTTGTCCTGTTTTGTTTGAAGCAAAAAACTAATCTGAAGGATTTATTAAACATTTAATTGTATATTATACTAAAAAATGTAGACGCATATGTGTCTATATTCTTGTATATTTGTTTACATTCTTTGATTATACTATGAAAGTGTTTTTGAAATGAATTTCCAAAACAATTATGAACTGTCTATTTGATTATAATGTAATGATATAGCTAGTTTAATATTCTTTGTATATTAGCCAATACCTTAATCAAATATTACACAAAAAGGAAATAACAAAATAATAAGACTTTTATAATATATCAACAATCTATTAATGTCAGCAATTACAGGTTGTATATCACATGATTTTTAATAATTTTAAAAAGATAATATTAGTTCAGCTTTCTGTTTTTGTGTATTCTAGACTTTTTCCTGCTGTAAAAGTAGAATTTATAAAGTTCTAAGTAAAAACTAGCTTATCAACTTGAAATCAAAACCACATTTGACTAAATAAACCTGATTATCATATACAAACAGTAAGTAAAATAACCTTGGGTTACTTAATTTAATTTTAGAATATTACTAGAAAAAACTAAAATATAAATGTGTACTGAAATTTTTACTATGGATATGTCTGAAATCTACACTTTAGCCGTTATATCAACTGAACTGTCCTAATGTTGGTGTTAACTAACATAAATACAAACCTGGAGGTCCCTGTGATTCACTTTGGACTTCTTCAGAAATAACTTGATCATCTTCAACTTCGAAATCCTCGAATTCGGCAAATTCGTTGTCTGCCTGATCGTGAAAATCGTTGGTTAAACCACTTTGAATTAGCAGAATAAAAAGAATAAAATATCGGAGGAACATCGTATCACTAATTTGGAAATTTTTTACTTGTAATTGTGATCCATTTATGTCAAAGTTAGATAACCTTATTTTCTTCTATTGATTAGATTCTTCGTTTCTGTTTACTTCTTTGGTAATGATTTAAACAGGTGAATGTACAGTCACAATTATCAGTTTACTAATAAATTTGCTATGATGTAAATTTAGATTTTCATTTATGTTCCAAATTTTCATTTATTTGGCATGCGTTTTAATCATTTGAAGACAAATAACACTTAAAACTATCCAGCTATAATAATGAATGCTTATTTATGTTTAAAATACGCCTAATACATATGCAACACTGAATACAAATTATTGCTTTTAAAATAAATAATTTATTTAAGCGACTGAATAATATTAATCTGAATAATAAAATAAACTTAAAAAAAGTTAATATTTCACGTTAACTAGTTAATTTTTCTACAAATATAATTATAAACTACAATAAATTACCAACATAATTAAAACGGGGCTAGAGAGAAAAATTTTTGTTCCTTTATCTCTCACCACTACATACTCTGTTTTTGTTGGATTAATGAACACCACTTGGTATATACTACATCTATTTTTCATAGCATGTAGTGGATATTATTTCAATTTTCTGCAAGTATTACTTGGTCATTTGCAAATTAAAATTGTACAGTTTATGCTCTCCAATTGGAATACCTACCCATATGTTCACATTTTCTTTTTCAGATATCCAAAATCCCCTCCAAATGAAACTTAAAATGCGTAGGTGCAATCAGCAATAATTTGTCACTTTTTATCTTTATTGAACTTGTTATATCGTCGTACAACTCCCTTACAGCATGACTTTTTTATCTTCTAGCACCTGCCATAGCCTGAATCGGAAATGAAATAGTTTCAGGAGTAAAACAAAGATTAAATGACAACCATGTCAACGCAAATGGAGGACTCATGGCTAATCTCTGTGCTTTTAACAATCTGAGAATCAATAATACATTTTTCTACCATAAGCTTCAGTATAAATATACATTTTAAAACTCCAAGGGATACAAATCTCTGATTAATTTTATAGTCACTAATAGAAAAATCTACCCAAAGCTGATTCTAGATATACGAACTTTAAACTCAGCAGACGCAGGGAATGAACACAAACTAGTACTAGTAATAAGAATGAAATTAACACCAAATCATTCTACAAAAAATGGGCTTTAAAGCCTACATACAAGAAGGAAGAAGAAGAGAAGAGGACCTAGGTTTATGTTGGTCGTCTATACTGGGGAAATTTTAAATTATTAAAAAAAAAATCCGGACAGAACAAAGTCACGAACTATTGGTAACTCAAGGATAAACATAAAATTAAATTATTTATTATATTAGCTTAAATATGATTCAATTTTGTCTATTTTAATTCGAGATGCTTTCGAATAAATTTTTTTGCTGATGTCCTTGAAAGCTAGCATTAAATAGCAATTATAGTTGTAGAATTATTTAAAAGTTTAAGCCATAAAAATACTATATCTTGGCATGCATTCTAAAAGTGTGTAATTCTGTAGCGTAAACGCCAAAGATATGTATATTAGATGGTAAGATTACAACTATTGTTTTGTAGAATTCCACAGTGGTTCTTTTAATTAACTCTCCTCAATGGGCTAAAGAAATATCGAAGAATGGTACGTAAATCATCTTGACGGGCTAAATGAACAAATTAAATTGTCTGTTTCTAAAAATAAAATGAAAAGGCATAATTAATATTAAGAATCAGTTTTATTTTACCACACTACTTAACGACTTAATTCAAACATAGGACTTTCTATTTACTTATCGAAATACATAATTTACTATCACAAGCACTCTCTTCTTACGAAAGTAGGATTCGTGCTTTTTCTAAAATTTGTTGTACTTCGTGTTTGAACGTCGTCCTTTGTTTTTCGCTCAGTTTCATCAAATATGGTTTTAGATGTTTAAACACATCCTCTTGATTTAAAAGGTCACGAATGTCGGGGTTATACGGAACTAGACCAATAATTTTCTCCAAATCTGTTTTTAGTTTGTAAAATAGATCTGCTTCTACGAAACCTATTGGAAGCGAATGGTTCAAAAATTCGTCTGAGTCGGCTTCGTCTAAAACAATAACACATTTAGACTGACATTTAATGCAATTAATTATGAAAATCAAAATTCAGTCATCAAAGACAAAATAAAACATATTTAAAAAAAGAACTGTACGATATTTTATTTATGATACTTCACACGAAACATTCACTTACACAGAGACCAGGTTGTTCTGAACATGCTGCACAATGGTATAAAGTATCTTTACGTATATACTTCTTTGTGCATGTACGATATTTTTTTCTGAGAGTCTTGCCTTATTTATTGACCAGGCCAATATTGACAGGTACATGTCCAATATTGATTACATTAGTTGTAAATGAAAGTGTTGTTGTTGGCAACGGTTTTTCCAAAACTATAAGTCTAAATTGCTTGAGTGTGAGTTTGCTATCAGAATATTATTTGTTAAAAAGATTATGAGCATTGTGCAAGTATAGCTGAATAATGTAGATAGCAAGTTCTTTATATCATCATAATGTCTTTCGTGTTATTGGATAGTATGACATCTATCTCGGAGATCTATTACGCCCATAAATTTGTTGTATTAAACGATAGGCACTGGTTTTTCTTGCTCTTCTATTTTTCACCTGTACTAGTTGATTTTTAAATTCAGTAGAAATAAATATCGCATCCCTCTATCTCGCTATATGCCTATCATAATATCATTAAGGTACTTACTTTTTATAGTTTATTCATCTTCCGGGTTTGGACCGTGTCATTTGTGAGTGACCCAAAAGCCACTCACAAATGACACGGTCCAAACCCGGAAGACGAATAAACTATAATTCTGACTCTGGCCGTGGAAGCCTACGATTTCATTTACTTACTTTTTGTCTCACCCGCTTTTAAATTTTTATTTACTACATCCAAAGGTCACATCAGAAAGAATAGTAACAGTAAAGATAAAAATGAAGAAGGAAGACCTAAGCATCGTGGGAGTATACGGCAAGAAAATAACAAGCCTCAAACAACAAGGAAAGCGTTTTATGACCAATTACAATAAGTAGTAGATCAAGAGGGAAGATGATAATATTGGGGATATCCATCGAAAATAATCGACGTACGATGCCTCAACTCAGCAAACATAGATAGCGACCATAGCCTAATATTATGTAAAATAAGAATCATCCTAAAATACTTCACCTTTGGGAATGGAATCACACATTCCCATTAACTCTGCTCATAGGGCACAGAGCCACCTTCTCTGTCGCTCATATGAGTAATTCCTGTCTGGCATGTCCATGTCACGTGGGTGGACATCTCTTGCTTCAGTAGGCCGGAGCTAGTAGATGGCTAAGTTCAGATAGGGACCCAGTTCCGTGGGGTATAACATGGCCCCTTTGCCCAGGGATACGGGTGAAGACCACAACGATGATGAAGATGGAGAATATAGTATTCGGTACAGTGAATTTAATGGAAGTGACAACCCTGTTTCTAGGGATAGTATAGAATAAACCTGGTGAAGGGCAGCAGCGTTTACCAGTACTAGAATTAGGCGTAAAGGAAATGATCCTAAATCGGATTCTTACTAGAATACCGTAGGTGAGACTGAAACAGTTAGAGAGCTACGGTACTGCTATGCGGAAAGCAAGTAGGAAACTACCGCATAATATTCCTCAGAACATCCACCCGTAGATTTTTCTTGTCATGTTGCAAGAACCAAAACAAACGTCCCCTAGTCCCGGGCAGGCCTTAAATAGCCAAGAAGTGCGAAGAATCTCCCGGTTTTAACTTGATCAGATAACCAAAATTGGTACGTGGAATGTCAGAAGCTTATTTGCAGCAGGCACACTACAAAATGTAATTCAGGAAATGAACAGAATTACCGTCGATATTCTCGGCATAAGCGAATTGCGATGGGAAGGCACAGGTATGAAGGCACAGACCCTCACCACAGATATGGGGTGGGAGTTCTGACAAGCCAAAATTTGCGCGTATCCGTGAAGAACTTTGTTCCGATCTCCGAAAGAGTCATACTTATTCAGTTGCATGGAAAAGTTAACATACATATTATACAAGTCTACGCCCTTGCAGCAGACAAGCCAGAAGAACAACTAGAGCGATTTTATCAACAACTAGACAAAGCCTTAAAGGTGACTAAGAATCACGGCATTAACATCGTATTAGGAGACTTTAACGCAAAAATTGGGGAAGGAGCCGTAGATCACGTAGTAGGAAAATATGGTCTTGGTCACAGAAATGACAGAGGGGACAGATGGATACATTATTGCCAAGACAAAGATCTAGTCATAACGAATACTTGGTATAAGAAGTTACCACCAAGGAGGATTACACATGGAAGTCGCCTTTAAACGGACATCAGGGCATTATAAGGAACCAAATAGCTTATGTGACAATAAATAGAAGGTACAGGAATGCTATTACTAAGGTATCTGCATTACCTGAAGCAGACATAGGATCCGACCACAATCTCTTAGTAGCAAATATTAAGCTGAGGCTCGCTACAGCTAAAAGAAAACACCAGAAGTCATCAGTAAACATCAGAAAACTCACAAACAATGAAACAAGTGAGGCATACACAGACGAAATAAACAATAGGTTCTCTAATATGGCAACTGAGAATAACGTTGAAAAGTCATGGATCACCATAAAAGAATCATTTGATGAGGTGAACAACACTTTTCTACTCGAGAGTAAAACAACTACCAAGAATGAGTGGATGACAGAAGAAATACTAGAAATGATGGAACAACTCAGGCAGTGTAAGATTAGGCAGGACCAAGTAGGGTACCGAAATTACACAGTCAAATTCGTAAAGAAATTATAGCGGCAAAGGAGATCTGGATGACTACACTTTGCAGGAGTGGCACAAGTCTGAAGAAATGACAACAGTGCATAGCTTTCGCAGAGGCTTGGTATTTTTGGCACGTTCAAGAATAGAACTTTGAAAAATCTTGGCTAATTTTGAAGAAGAAGCTAGAAAACGTGGCGTGACTCCAAATCA